AAAAACATCTGCTCAGTAATTACAAAATAAACAACAAGAAATTGCTTTTCTTAACAACATGAATTAATATGGTTATGGAATAGGATAAAACAGAAGTGTACTTGATTTTAATTAAATAATAATAAAAAAAATTAATTAAATAAAAGAAAAAAATGAAAAATGTTAAATTAACTTTTCAAATTTTAATGAAAAAAAAAAAACACTCTCTCAATCTATTCAAATATATATATATATATATATATATATATATAGTATAGTAAAAAGTCTATTATCCAAATCTATATATTAGGTGTATAAATAAAATCCTCCCCTAGAAATTGATTGCTCTATAAAACATATGCAAAGGGTACTGATATTGGACCGATCTAAGTTTCAATTGTTTATAACTTTTATATATAAGTTGATATATCAAAGTTGAACGAAATGGATATCGTTCGTGGTATTGCATTTTCTCGTTGATTAATTTAGGAAAAAAATGCAACTTAAACTATGAAAATGGTCAAGTTAGTTTGGAATAGAAATCCAGCTTAATCTATAAAAGAGTTAGAAAATGATTTGTGAGAATTTGGGTAAAAAAATATTACAAATTTGCCTACGTCCGTCCGTTCGTCTCGCGCAGAAACAATCAAGAAAATCCGTTTCAATTTGATCTGAGAAGTTTTACCGCACGCGCTGTATTCTCCAGATCTGACACTTTCCGATTCCCATTAATTCCGAACGATAGAGTCATATTTAGGAATGCAGCTGTTTTGCAGATTTACAGACATGGAAAAATGGTTCGGTGGCTATTTCGCCTCCAAAGTGGCATATTTCTATCAATAAGCTGCCCGATGAAGTGGTGAAAGACCATAGTAATGATTGTCCATATTGCGGTTATTAAGTTTTGTAACAACTATGTTCTAAATTTCACCAAAAAGCAGCAAAAAGAATTTATTTGCGCACCTATTAAATATGAACTGAGAGCACACCTTATGTTATCATATATACGACAATGAACAAGAAGAAGAAGAAGTTAAACACTTTACCGAGCGATAGCCAATTAACAGTCGTCAAGGTTAAGATATCAACAGTCTGTTGCCACGATTATAAAAAGTCACTTACCTGAGCATAGGAAAAGCGCTGTTATTCCGCTCGGCAATCTAAATCGAAACAGAACCGATTCCAGGAAGAATCTGGGATGGGGGATTATACCCATTTTGTTTTTCTCCATAATATATGTAATAACCAAAGGGAAGCTTCTCAGAGATCCTATCTATCTACTGACATGTCCGTCCGTCTGCGTGTCTGTCTGCGTGTCTGTCTGGAGTGTCTTGTTGACACTATCCTAAAGTTATCGACTTCAAATTTAGCAAAAACATTGGAAGTTAGTGCACGCAGACGAGTATTAAAAAAGGGGCAAAATCGATTGGAACAGAAGCGCGCAGTGAAGCCGTAAACTGAACGCAACTAAATTTCTTCTAATAAAAATTTCTGATTTTCGCTCGTGACTCGGAAATCATTAAAAAGTTCGGAGGATGAAATTTTCCATATTTACTTTACGAAGCACTTTCCCTCCTTACGAAAAGTAACCCATGTCTATACAAAATTACAAGTGATTAAATTTTGTTTTTTTTTTTTTCACTTTTAATGTTCATTTATCATAAAGCAGACCGAATGATCGAATGTTTAAAATTATTTTGTGCACTCCTTAAAATGAAGGTATATTGCTATCTGCCTAAAAATGGGTTCATTTTAAAATGGATATAGTAGAGAACGCGATAAATTTTTTTTCTTAATAATATCAACGAAAATGGGTATCAAATAAAAGAATTTGACGACTCGAATGCGAAGAACGTAGTAGTGGGTATGCGAGATTCGACTTTCGCCGAATATAATTTTTTTACTTCTTTTTTGCATTCTTTTTTCCATTTATTTATCCGACTAAACGTTCCCCTGTGAATTTCATAAAGAAAATGACGCATAACGATTAAGGTTGCGATGGTCCTTGTAGTTCGTTTAACAACTAATTGCTCGTTAACTGCATTATTCACTGGACACGTATATCCACAGATTGTTTTAGGCGAAAATATGCACACATCACTCACACATGCATAATTACTTTACGGCTGGCCACTTGCCACCTTACCTTCAATTATCGTTCCGTGCAATAGCACAATATTTATTTGAAAAAAGAAGAAGAAGAATAAAAAAGTCACCATTCTTGTAAAAAAAAAAATTGTTACCATGAAATATAAAATCGATTTTCTTCTATCATTATTGTAACCTTAAACCCCAATGTGGCAGGTAATGGTTTTATTTAGTATGTATATATATATATATATATATATATAGTTTCCTGTATTTATGTTTGGCTTTTGTATGATACCATTATATGCGTTAATAATTTTTCTTTTCATCGCGTATTTAACATTTTGTTACTCTTCTATGTTCAATAATCATGTTACATGTTTAGAGTGCATAACGACCGATACGTATGTATGTATGTATGTATGAAAAGACACGCGCCAAAAGCATATATATATATATTTGTAAATATGAAAATAATGCAAATAAATTGAAGATTAATTAAATGGTTCGTCAATTTTTCTATGACCTATTGTCGTTTCTATTTATTGTGTTCGTTATTTTATTTTATCAAAACATTGTAATTTATCCACTTAAGTGCAGAGCAATTTAAGGAACAGTTTTGATTGATGCGGCCACGATATCTTTTTCTATATTAGAGAGCGAGAGAGAGAGAGTCTTCCATATATATATAAAGTAGACAGGCAGAGAAGGAAATAAATTGAAACGTATAGCAAAGTGCAATACTTATCTTGCGCAGAAAATCCGTGTTATACGGAACAATAACGAAAAGAGAGATAATGAGATTTTCTGCTGCTACTACAATAAACGATATTTGAGAACATAACATAAACTATGTGCTCAACATGCACACGAACATCAATAGCGCAACGAGAAAGTTGCGTTCGCATTCACCAACGCCCACATATCGCGATCGTAAGCCAAAATATCCGTAAGGAGTCGAACGTGAGGCCATCTTCGCGGCATCTTTCGCCTCCAATTTTGACCACTAGTTAATTATTTGCATGTTTAAAAAATCATCCGAATCATGTAAAGAGTTATTAATTCACGCTATTTACTCATTGATAGTGTCATCGTATATTATATATGGTATATATATATATATATATATATGATTCATATATTTGAAAAACACGAAACAATTTCATGGAAAATCACCGGAAAAGAGCGATCATGACTCACTGTCGTTGCATGACATGACCCTTTGTCAATCTCGAGAGATTTTCAAGCAAACAAGAAGAAGAATCGTAGCTTTTCGCATTAGGTCGCTGCAGGGAATTTCGAACGGTATTATAAGCAATAGCATAATACATTTCGAAATTGATCGCATTATATCTAAATAGATTTTCATTCTAAAAAGGCAGCACTGCTACGAGTTATACAAAATGTCGGGTAGTACCGCTCATCAATATTTGCGATTTTTTTTTTTCCTTTTTTTTTTCCTAATTTTTGCTTTCGCTGAAACAATTCGTAATAAAACACTACCAGCTGATCATCTGCTTTTGTCGTCAATGATAATCGATCGCTTAATTATTATCCTTGAAGTTGGGCAGGAAAGGTTTCCCCTAATTACTATCCCGAAACTTAAGCAGGAAAGGGGTAACGTTTCCCCTCTTTGGCGTTATCATTTCTTTGCTTCAAGGTTGCTCGACCTTTTTTGAATTATAATGCTGCGGAACGCATATCTTCATATAAGCGAATCATAATTCGAGTAACGTTACGAAAATGATGACGCGGAAAATCTTTTCACCACTTATAGATTAAAATAATGTCAGCAAGAACTGTCAAATTTGAAGACGATCTTTTAATTTTTTTTCGACCGGGGAAATGTTTATGACAAACAATTCACGCATACTATAGGTCCGACATGTTTAGAGACCGATTCAGAGTTTGATAGTGATGCACACTGGATGTTGCAAACATTTGCACACAATCTCATCCTTCCTGGTGGTGAATATATAAAATTGTCTTCTTCTTAACTTGTCGAATGTTAACCCAGACAAATTGAGATTTCATTCTGTCTCTTGTACGGTTTTTCTTTTAGGGTTTATTAAATTAAATGGATTTTCATTGACAAAAGTGCAATAAATTTTATGAATTTTAAGAAGACTTTCAAGAAAAATTTGTTTTTATACTCGACACAACTTATGTCGCAAGAATATATTAACACTGGAAGGGGACATTCGTTTATAATAGGTCATTATATCGATCGATTCAGAATCATTTTCTGATTTGATGTAAGCGTGTCTGTCCGTCTGCTCGCCTTTTTTTTCTTGTCTTCAACCTACAGGTCACAATTTTTAAGTTATCTGAATGAAATTTGATACACAACGCTATTGAAAACAATTTCATTCCGTCCACTATTTCGACCACTTCCCCCCACATAACGCTTTATGCTGAAAATTAATTATATGGGAAAAAATTGCAATTTTCAATATTTTTCGCCAAAAGTGATTAAACAGTAGTATTTCCGCACTCTAAATTGGTGTGAAAACTTTAGAGCGATTGGGGCAAATTTTTTGAATCTTCTCTCATAAAAACGTTCCTACGGAAATTAAAGATTTACATGGCAAAAAGGTCGAATTTTCAATATTTCATGGTGAAAGTAAGCTAATAATAGTCGACACGTCGACAAAAAAAACTACCTCACCGAGTTTGTATACCACGTTGGCCTATTTTTTTTGTACACGACCGAAAAGGTCTAATTGTAAAAATTTTTTTTTTTTTTTGCGCTCATACGTATAACTAAGTCAGCCTTGCTTTAAGAAAATGCCAAAAATGAAAAAGAAAATCATAAGCTCTTCACTTTGGTAATCATGGCACTTATGTATATAGTGTAATAAATAAAAAAGAAAAACACATTATTGCTTATTATTATTATTAATATTATTATTATTTTGAATTCTCAATATTAGCGGCGGCAAACATAAATACGCACTATCAGAGTGTGCAAGAAAACGTCACAAATATTAAGGCTCCAGAACAACATCAAAGCAATTCTGCCGAGACTAAGGTATCGGAAACGCCAATTGTTGTTGATTATCATAATAATAACAATCAGCCATTGTTGGGCGCAAATGGGACGGGACAACGCAAAGATGTTGACCATAAAATTAATCCGGCGGCTATTGGAACTGTTCTATCAGATCCGATTAAAAATGTTAATATCACAAACGAGCCCGCCGATGCTAAAAAAATAAATCAACCCATTCAAAAAGGGGTGACGAACAATACCACGCCTGCTACGTTAGTCACACCGACAAATTTTGAGCTAAACGCAGCCGAAGAAGATAAAATAATTGATACCATCGATGTTCCTGAAAATGATACCATAGATATCCTTAACCAACATAACTTAACAGTTAACATGACAACGGTACGAAACAAAATCGAAGATTAAAGTCGAAATGTTCAACTAAGATATTCTCGTTTTTTTTTTTTTTTTTTTTTAGGATCATCATAATTATTACAACAGCACGGTCTATGTAGATCCAATGGAGGCGAATAAAACATGGAATCAAATAAAAAATATCACACCCAGTTTAATGCTCTCGCAATCGCATCGTCGTGCTATGGTTCGCATTAAATTCATTTAAATATTTTTTTAAGATATCAACTTTTATAGTTAATGAGACGCATTATGTAATTTTCTTACTTACTACTAACTTACTCTCTTTGATAGACCGTCCAATTGAGTTTTGATTTCCCTTTCTATGGTTATGCGGTACGTAATGTTACTGTGGCCACCGGTGGTTTTATATATACCGGCGATTATGTGCACTCGTGGCTGGCGGCCACGCAATATATTGCTCCATTGATGGCCAATTTTGACACTAGTCTATCAAACGAGTCATATGTGCGCTTAAATGACACAGGTTAGCTGCATGTGGGATATTAATTTATGCGATGAAAAAATTTTGTAATGTAATTATTTCAATTTAGGTAACTCGTTTACCGTCATTTGGGAGAACGTTTACCTACAAGATAAGCAAAATGTGGGCAAATTCACTTTTAGTGTAGTTTTACATAAAAACGGTGACATTGTATTCACTTACTTCTCTGTGCCCATCTCGGTCGTTTCAATTCAAGATGATAAACATCCAGTAAAAGTCGGTCTTTCCGACGCCTATATAATCGATAAAGTTGTTTATTGTATGTGCTTTTTTTTCATTTACAAACATTTTGATCTTAAATCTTATTAATCATTCAAATATTTAACAGTCGCCCGACGAAAAACCATTTACGAATATCATCGAGTAAGTTTCGCCGATTCCAAAATTGTCAATTCTACTATCATTCATTTAAAAGCTCTACCGACTTGTTTACAATTTACTAATTGTGACTCGTGCCTCAACCATGATACTACCTTTGATGTAAGCATAATAGACATTGGAAACAATAATAATAATAATAATAATAATAATAATAACAACAACAATAATAATAACGAGGACAATTTTAATATATCATTTCAGTGTATTTGGTGTCCAGTGCTCAATCGTTGCTCAACTGGTACAGATCGTAAAAAGCAAGAGTGGCAAATTAGAGGTTTGTTATAGTATAGTAGAGTAGGCGTCAGCGAAAAGACGCCTCTCGAAATGAATTTAATTTTTAATTCATTATCATATTTTTTCGTCCAGGTTGTGATCGTTCACAAGTAGCTGATTTTAAAAGTTGCCCTAGTTCGGCTCATAGTGAAGACAATTATCCACCGGGTTCCCCTGGTGGTCCGTCCCCATCATCATCATCATCATCATCATCATCATCATCATCATCATCATTTAATAACGGAGACATTCATCATAAAGAAGGTCAAATACATCCTTTCAAACCGTATCAACCGAATCGCATCGAATCTTCGTCAATGATGACACCTTCGGAGTTGGATCTGAGTCCTGTTAGCAAAGAAATTAAATCAGTTTTAGAAGAACCAGCTGAATCGAAAAACATCAGTTTCACTTTAGCTTTCTTTGTACCCATTTGCCTTGTGGCATTTGTATTGTTATGGGTTCTTTATGCCTATAGAAATCCTCATACAAAAAGTGGACAACTTCTCATACAGGTATGAAAATTATATGAATTGCTATCCTATATTTAATTTCCTATGAATGGAGATCCATTAACTAACAATTGCCTTAATAAGGATTGTATATATATGTATCAAAAATTGCTGCTTCATCAGCTAAACTAAAAAATATTCTTAGCTGTTTAGCGTATTAACTTTTCTTCTTTTATTTTTAAATTGCTACATGCAGTCCAAATATGGTCAGGTTTGTACACTCAATCTGTAAACATTACATCAGCTTTTGTCTTGCACAATTCAAATCTGTATCATCTCAGGCTTTCCATACATTTTTTCCTCAATCAAATTTTCACTCAAAACTTTTTTTTTTTTTTGTTTTTTCTTAAGCCTTTATTTCTTTTCCCCAGTCTCTCTTTTCCATTTGTTGTAATCATCTAAAAAGTTCTATTCGTTTATTTGATTATAAAAAAAGAAGAAGAAGATTTTACAACAAAAACATCAATAGACTCTATACCCCATCTTGATGTGAATATATCTGTTTATGATTAGCACACTGATTGATTGTAATTTTCCCTCAATTTAAAGGAAGCTATTAATGAAGCGAGCGTGTAATCGCAATCTAACTATTGATACAGAATGCGTAGACGAATAATACATCAAAACGTTTCTAAAAACGTTCAATGACAGAATGTAGATTCAAAAATATATTACCAATGCATGTCAACATCATTCGAAAACGTTGACCTCAGATGGCACGTTGGCTACATATACTACTACTACTACTACTACTACTACTACTACTAGTGAAAAACTTTTTTCTATAAAATCCTAATGGGATTAATTTTATTGCACTTTCCTTGCTCTTTTTTTCGATTCCACGAAAATATTTTCAAAGAATACCTTTGATCCAATTGTTGATTGGGATCAGTTTCGCATTCGGTCCAAAAATGATTCCAACTCGCTTGCTAACACATCTATATAGTTAACAATAAAATCTAGTGCAATGTGCTTTAGAATAAATGGGAAATAAATTGAAGTGAACCGATCAAGACCATTTTGGCGAACCTTTAAAGCATTTTAGCAAATTTATTAGAAATATATTTACGGGACCGAAAGTTATACGAGAAAAATTCAACAATAAATTTTCAATATTTTTCGAGGCTGTTTAGGTGTGTGTGTGTGTGTGTGTGTGTGTGTGTGTGTGTGTGAACGAATCATGCTCAATTTTGAAACTTCAGTTTCCTACCTCCAGCATAGGAGTTACCTGTCAAATTGACGAATACACACAATATAGATAAGTGGACCGCATCCAGATATAGCAAAGTGCATTTGAATCAGAAAAAAAAAAGAAAAAGAATTGACATAAATATTTACTATATAGAAATCCTGAGGATGTCTACTTTCTGATGGAGAATTTTTGAGTTTGAAACGCATCAATCCGTCAAATTGACGGGTGAGGTAAATCTTTTAATTAAGCATTGTGAAAAAGTGAAAAATTTTGAGGGAAATTTTTGAGCGGATATTCTAAGATACTGTACCGTGCGTTATTTTGTTCCAACTAAGAGCAAACATATAAGCAATTCCTCAATATAAATTGGCAGTGGTATTTTTTTTATTGTCTGCTAAATAAAACGTGTTCTTTATTTGATAAGATCAAATTGAGATGTGGCGGAAAATAAAATTGAATTTTATATTTGTAAATACGAGTTAACAATGTAATGCATGCGCTTCCGCTTCACTTTTTGAATCTTCTATAAACGTGCGTAACTACTAAAGAAATAAACGAATACATGTTGCAGTTTGTCAAAGACGAAGAAGATTTCAGCTGAATAATTCGATCGAATTTTTGAAAAATGCATTTAACATAAGAAAGTTTAATTTATTAAATTCTAAACTCGAAACTCACTTTAAAGAAAATTACTTGTAACTAAAAATTGATTTAATGAGCAAAAGAAATCATTTTTCATCAAGCGTCAATTCACAAAAGTGTGCGTGTGCGTATGCGTGTGCGTGTGCGTGTGTATGCAAAAAGTATAAAATCATCATTCGCTTCGTTTATGGGAATATGATTCGCCCCCTCCCTCTTCGATGTTCATTTAACTTAATTCGGTAAGGAATAGCGGAATAGCGGTGTAAGAGATCAGTACTTTGATGACTTTTAGAAAATCATTCGGAATTCGTTCGAAAAATTTATTAGATTAAAGAGATAAATAAAAAAGAAATCTTCGCCTTTCCTTTACCACCATCAGTTAATGATACGGAACTTAGAATATTTAACGATCAATCAGATCATTGGCATAGATGTTGATAATATTTTTTAAAATATAAATTTATTTAAGGCACCCTATCAATATATATATATATATATATATATATATATATATATATCGTTCATCTTGTTCACTTGCACTTGCCTTCTTCAGTTTCATTACATACACTTAGTTAAATCTCCAGCTCCAAAATATTTCAATATTATATCTATCGTTCTTATATATGTATATTGGACGGTGTTTTTTTTTTTGCTTTCCTTTTTTTTGCTTTTATTGTTGAGTTATATATATATATATATATATATATATATTATTTATTTTTTTTTTCTTAAATAAAAATGCTTTCAGTATCGCCCCAGTCAATGGTCTTGGAGACGCGGCGAGGCTCGTTACACAGCGGCAACGATACATATGTAAATAATGCATGAGGAGGAGATCAAAGCAATAAAAAGTTTCCTTTCATGTACTTCTATAAAATTTATTTTCTATATTGTAAACTTTTATAAAGAAAAAATTATTTTACAATCATATCTCGTTCTATTTGAAATGTTTTTCACATCTGTATTTCGAAAATTTATTTTATTGTCTTTATTGAATATGTTCAATTTTTTTGTTTTTTTTTTATTTTTTTTTTAATTTTTTTTTAAAAATTTTTTAATTTTTATATATAATAATAATAATAAAAAAAAAAAAAAAACAAATTGTCATTTTATTTAAAATTAAAAATTTAGTTGATTAAATTCTAAAAGCATAATTAACTTAATTAAAATTTGATATTTGGTTTAATTTTATTTTAATTTAAAATTTCAATTGTAATTTGCTTCACAAGCGTTTATAATATTGTTTATTATTTTATAATTGTAATTGTGTGTGTGTTTTGTACTATATATATATATATATATTTACATAATTTAATTTTAATGCGTTTTAAAAACTTAAATTTTCTTGCAAGTTTAGTTTAAAATATTGTGATTATTGTTTTATTATATAATTCTTAAACTGATCCGTGTATGTTTGACAATTTCCTGGAGCAGTTTTAAAATCAATCCAATCAATTAAAGAAAGAAAAAATTAATAATTTTTAAAGATTCTGTTTTCTTCTTTTCTTTTCTTTTGTATGCTTTTTTTTTTTTTTTTGTCTTATTTAATTTAAATTTCGCCCACGAAAAATGTTTTAAGGAGTTAGCACATGAAATGTATCTGTTAACATATATTTTATATTGTAAACCTACATGTGTTCAGTTTCTGCATTCCAGTTAGGTTCTAAAGCCAATCAATCAATCAATCAATCAATCAATCAATCAATCAATCAATATACACGACACAATTGCGCCGCTAACACGATCTATAATTATTATTACTCTTATTATTATTATTATTATTATTATGATTATTATGATTACCTAACATCGTTCACGTCAATGAGAACCGAATCTAAATGTTAATGTCAACTTAAAAATTTGCAGAAAGGATCACAAAAGTCTGAATTGAAAGAATAAAAGGGAAAAAGAAAAAAAAAAAAAAAAGAGTTCAAAATTCCATCTATTTCATCTATCGCTATATTTAATTTTGAAGAAATTCGTGTCCGTCCTCGATTCATTCGATTGCATTGTTAAAAGATCAGTACGCGTTATTTTTTTTTTTGCGGACATTTCGAATTACGTTCGGTGCCCTAACTCGCTCGCACTAATCTATGCAATTTCTTACAATTGTCAAAATCTTTGTGTGGCCCCTTGGAGGAAAAGCTTATTAGTTTTTTTTTTTTTTTTTTTTTTTTTTTGAAAGAACAGCAATAACGTACACATGCTTTCTTTTCATACATAATATAATTAATTAGCAAATAATTTAAAAAAAAAGACATGATTATGTCGATAATACGAAATGTGAACTCTCTTTATTTGTAAACTTTTACATCAAAATCTATACACGTAATTATGAAATAATTGTAACTTAATAAACTGTGTATTGTAATAAAAAAAAAAAACAAAAAACATAAAAAAACTAAAATATAATCTTTCTTTATTTTTTATGACTTATTCTTATCGTTCAATATCATTGGTTTGCTTTTTATTCTATTGCCGATCACTATAGGCACGGGCATAGTGACGATCAGGAAAAGTTATGAGAAAAGAGGTGTGGGGAGAGGGGGGAGGGGAGTCGTGTTTATATACGTTCGACTTGAAAATGGAAAGATCAGCTGCGGTGGGAGGGAGGGAGCGATCATTGCTAATAGACTGTTGCAAAGGCGGGCAAAAGGCGGATTGAAAAACGACGACTCACGGTAGCTTGCTGTACGGTACGCAGGTAACTCCAAGACAAGTTGATGAGAATGTCGAACAGTATGCGAACAAGGTACGATGGGTGAGATCATTGCTAACAGGTTGTTGCAAAGGCGGGCAAAAGGCGGATTGAAAAACGACGACTCACGATAGTTTGCCGTACGGTACGCAGATAACTCCAGGACGAGTGGATGAGAACGCCGAACAATATCTTTGGACAAATTTTGTTTCATCTCTGTAGAACACTTGCTTTGGGTATACTTGTGCATAAGCTTGACACAGCCCACATCAAGTCAATGCTCAAAGGTATAGAGACTTTTGGACACACTTTCGCCACTTTCGAGTATCTGAGGAGTCTCCAAACAAAGTTTGGATACTCTCGCCTACCCATGCGAGTTATATTCTCTTTTGAATATAGGCGGCATAAATGGTAAGGTTATCGGTTGCAGTGAAATAAGTTCAGTGCACACGTACAAAGATCCTCATAAGATGGATCCTCTTGATTGCCTCGAGTATCAATCAGATTCACGATTCAATTCGAATTTCAAAACTCTTCCTAGAACATCAAACTTGGATTGATATTGGAATCTCTTATAAATCATTGCTTCCATGCCGTAACCGTCGGGAATATCATATTTATCACAAGATCCCGCAAAGATATGAATTTGCGATTAAAATCTGAATAGAAAAATAGAGGAAGCTATGTATGCCTGCTCTGGCTATTTATCAAGACCATGATGATTATTCGTGCTCTCAACATTTCATTTACGAAAAATAATAAATTCATTAAGCAAAAAACTTATGGTATTCTCTCTTCAGTTCGATGACAATCAGCAGTTTTTTAGATCGCGAAACTTTTTCTTATTAACTTGTGTTGTTAAATGCGAAAAGTTTTTTTTTCTTTCTTCCTTTCGGGATTAACCTATAATAACATGCCGCCATTCATGTTTCAAAAAGTATACGTTATCTATTCGAGAGAGAGAGAGATAGAGAGAGATAGAGAGATAAACAGATATATAGATAGATAGATAGATAGATAGATAGATAGGTAGATAGTTACATAGATAGATAGATAGATCGAGAAAGAGAGAGAGAGAGAGAGAGAGAGAGAAGGAGACAGATAGATAGATAAATAAATAGATAGATAGATAGGTAGATAGTTACATAGATAGATAGATAGAGAAAGAGAGAGAGAGAGAGAAAGAAAGAGAGAGAGAGAGAGACAGATAGGTAGATAAATAGATAGATAGATAGATAGACAGATAGAGAAAGAGAGAGAGAGAGAGAGAAGGAGACAGACAGATAGCTAAATAAATAGATAGATAGATAGATTGATACATAGTTAGAAAGATAGATAGATAGATAGATAGATAGATAGAGAGAGAGAGAGAGAGAGAGAGGATATCAAGTCCAACGTAAGATTTGTGTTTATTTCATACAAAAAAAAAAATATATATCTATGTCTTGAAATGTATTTATGCAAAGTTTACACAACAACGCAAAGCAAACTTATAACAAATTCTAACACAGGGAAGATGACAAACATATTTGCATTAACTTAACTCTTAATACTCTTATCATAATTAAATATTGATTGCAATTCGCTTTACGGTAAAGAGGAGACCGGCATGCATCATTTTATTTCAAATAATTTCTTATTTAAAATTTTTATATTAAATTAGTAAACATAAGTTTAATTATAATGCAAATTTTTGTAGATAAAATGAAGAGGTCAAATAAAACGTGAGTACTAACATCAAGGTAACTACTTCTGTTATTCAACAAATCAATAATCGAAAGTTCGCTGAGATATGTAAAAAATGGGGATCAATATGAGCGCAGAGTACTTGTTATGGTTAGGGATTCGATCTGATATTATAATATTATTATTATTTATTTATTTTAGTGTTTGCTTGATTAGTTTCAATCGCAGTTTCGGTTTACATTTCCTGAGAATTCTTATATACATTGATATCCAACCAGTACACCTATATGCTTCAATTTCAATGAGGTTGATCTCTATGTCCATGCACTATTATGAAATAATTTTCACCATGAAATAATATTGAAAATTATACCTTTCTACCTTCTTCTTGTAAAGATTCCGTTTACGTAGGTATGGTTACAGAGAGGGGACTGAAAAAATTGCCCATTCATTCTTTAAAGTTCAAAGCTTATAAAGAAATCGTTCAATTTTATTATCGTATAGTGTAGTGATTAGGACGCCACGAACATTCAAGCAGAAGTTAAGCTTTAGCACATTTTCAACTTAATTTAACTTTTTTCTTCACATATATACATCTTACACATGACTTCTACCAGCCGCCTTAACGATAAACGCATCGACCCAAGTCATAAGCTGCAAATTCATAATTAAAACTAAATTTCATAGTTTGGCGAAAGTAATAACTAATAAATTTATAATCAGGCGTTAAGGATATCGTATGACGGGATGAAATAAAATAAAATGGCATATGCATAATACCCTAGGACAAAACTAAATGACAATTAATGCTTCAATTTTCAGTTTCGCCCATTTTCATATAAAATTTCTATTTCTATTAATCTATTAGGTTTATTTATAAGCATACGGCATTTATGCGGATCGGGCAGCTCTGTGTTGAGTACTCTGGTATGAGTACACTTCCATTTGTTCATCCTTCTTACTTCAACAACAATTTTTGATTGTTTTTAGCTTTCAGATCCTGTTTAAGATAGGACTTTTTCTATTGTCAGTTTGGTCAGTTTGGTCAATTTGAGAGACACTTTGTAGTAACACTATAGTAAAGCAATCATATTTGACTCTACATTATCTACATGCGAGTCAATTTTCTTATTTACAATTTTGTGGCTATACACGTAATTGAAAAAAGTACAAAAAATTCTTTTTTAAATATCTTTCCTGATTTTTCATATAATTCTCAAATGTCTACTTTGTCTGGTAAATTCCAATCCTCCACTTCACTTAATTCCCGAAATTCGTATATGCTATACCTACCATTATGTGCACAAAACTAAAATTAATTTAATTTATTATAACAATCAACGAAGGATGGAGATATGTATTCATTTTGCCAAAATGTTTTGCAAAGCCCAAGAGGAAGGAAGCAATGTGCAATGTCCTCTCCTGGCCGCAAAAATTATGCTTTGGCGACTTCAAATTTGGCAGAACCATTAAAAGTTCTTGCACGCCGATTGGTATTGACAGTAGGCCAAATCAGTCGAAGTATCTGCCCATAGTACCAAGCAAACTGAGAACACCTCTGTTTTTTAAAAAGGAATAAAAAATTTATTTTTCGCTCATTACTCATAAACTATAGCAAATAAATGTACAAAGGTGGTGTCAGGCAAAATTATAGTGAAGCAATCCGATGACATACACCCAGATATCAATTTTTGGGATCCTTCTCTAAGGAGGGATTTACTTTTATTATCAAGAACGTCAACTATTACCATTGTCTTTACGCAACTCCGTTCCGTCCACTTGAATGTATTAAGAAATTTTCTCTTCGAAGGGATTCACGCTTTCGTTACGATCGCCCCCAAACTCTTGCTTCCAGATGCTTTCAATTGAAAATTTTTTAAACTAACTTTCATGAAAAGAAACTTTTAATACAATTTGCAAAAAAAAATCTTACATAATATATAACTTTAAGCAGCAAAGTTTTCCTTAAATAGCAACGTTTTACACTATTCAGCCATTCATTGCATTTCAGAGAACCTTCTTTGCCGCGAGTGTATTAAATATATTGTTTGAGTCTCAGTGACAAATTAATGTAAAATGAACGATTTAATGAAATTACTTTGATAAAGAAAAGGAAACTTTTCTGCCGAGATTGCCATCGACATATGCAAATCTCTCCATCATAACGTGATCCAAGTGAAGTATTACTCAAAACGCGGCGCCAACGCTGCAAAAATATTATTATTAAAAAAAAAAAATTATTAAAATATTATTATTATTATTATTATTATATATTATATTTAGAAGCCAAAAAAAAAACTATTTTCAAAATTTTAGAAGATTGCTTTTTATTGGTATTTTAATGGAATTTTTGCCGCGGTGGCAGATTGAACCCCATGCTGAATAATTGCTTTTAGACCGTTAACTGAGTCAATCAAAGTTACGTTTACAGATTCCCATCGATAAAGGTAGATCGGGTGAACCTAAAAAAAAAAAAAAAATACATTGGTTCAGTATCTAAGATCTACTCGCAGATAGTCGACATAATGGTCTATAGAATGTCTTACTTCATTAACTCAAACAGTGGAAAATATAACAACGAATATGTAATAAAGTGAGTGAAATAAAAGAGTTTTTTAAATCATTTCTTTGACAACAACTGCTATACTACACTCAACATTCTAACTAACCAAACTGTTGTTGCTCTTTAAATTGAAATTCTTTTTAAGATACCCATAGATATTTTTCATTTCTCTCGACCGGCCTTACAGAGAATGAATATTATGTCTGCATAATTAATATGTAATGAAAACCGTTCATTTTACCAAATGTTTTTCTTTTCTTTTTTTTTTTTTTTTTTTGCTCAGATAAACAATGTATGTTTTAAAATATAGAATTGTTTTTATTATTTCATTACACAATATATAATCATTATTAGTAAATGGATATCAAACAAAAACAACTTACGCAAATATAAATTAAAATATCTTTAGAGAAAAAAGAAAAAAAAAAAAAAACAGTTACAAAGTTCTATTAAATAACGTTCTCTGCTTGCAGTTATCATTATATGGAAAAATAAATACAAAAAAAAAAATATAATAATACATACATGATAATGGTAGCACAATTGTATATTTGCTATTAAATAAAGGATATCGTCATCGGGCTTATTATATATAGAAAGCAGAAGAAGATGAAATTTTTTACAAAATCTTATTAAATCATTCATTAACAATAATTTAACATACGGCTATTATATAAAATTAAAAATATTTAAAAGTACTTTAAGAAAAGTTCATGCTGTTTCAATAAAATTCGAAATTATAAACTCAATTAGAATATATAGCCACATCTTCTTAATTAAGCGTAACAGTATCGATCTTGGCCCAATTATAAAAGAAAATAGAAGGGGTCTCTACTAATTCTTTTTTTGTTTTTGTTTGTTTTACTGGAACGAGGGAAAGTGCACTAATTTGATTTAATGTAATTATTTTCAAAAATTTCTAATTCGTTTTGTATGTAGTTAGCCTTGTTGCGTAACAATTTCAATTGTTTCTGATTGCTCTCTAGTACTGTAAGTTGTGCCTCCAACGTTTTAAGTTCATCGTTCATATCAGTGGTAGCATTGTCAACAGTGCGGCACAAGCGAGCAAATGTACTCGACAGCTCCCTATATTTATATAATTTTTACAAACGTTTTTATTATTGACATTGTTATTCGAAAAAGTAAAGGACTTAAACTTACTGTTGTACTTGATGACTGCAATTAGCAGATGTAAGATCAACAATCATTTTAAGTTTTTTCGTGGCATGACGAACATATTGTGCTTTAAAAGCACGTTCCTTAGCTGAATTTGTCCAAGAGAGGCGTTCATACATGTAAACACAACCATAGAGAACTCCAACACCCACTAAAACTCTCCAGCCTATCGTCTTCAACATCTATAAAAAAAAAAAAAAAGTAGTCTTAACAAACGTCGATTACAACCTACCTTTGATCGATTCTTAACTTACAATTCCCGCCACTATAAGACCGCCTACTGTACCCTGAGATCCTACGGAGGCCAAGGCAAGACGCGATATCATTGATAATTGCTCTTGAGTTATGCCACCGACCGGGGTGGGTATCAGGCAAACTGGTGTTTCGTTGGTCGGTGTTATAGGTGAAGCAATTTGCTGAAAACAAAAACAATTTTCGTATAAATTTCAAGCATATGTTTCTTTTAAATGATTTAAAAACTTACAACACTACTTTGGCAATTCATAATGGGTAGATTTTTACGATTCCTTTCCTTCACTTTACCAGTAAAACGTTGTAACATGGCCGTAATGCCCCAAGAAAATTTAAACTCTAAATCCTCTTGAAAGTCGGCGCACAAGTTTTGACAATTTAATGAATAAAGCATTTCAAATGGTTGTGTTCGTGCTACAATTTGCTTTGTCTGCTCATTGAATTTTTCATTTGGTACCAAAGCGTGCATACGTTCTGAAATATGAAAATTTGAAAAACCAATGAAACAAATTTTTGCTAACCTAGAAAATCTTAATATACCGGTCATTTCACGTTGAGCTGACTCAACATTCATAGCTAAAGCCATTGATAATCTCGCACGCAAATTAGAACCCAAACCGGACTCAACGTGCGAATTCAATTCCTTTTTATAAATATTCAATACTAATGGCTCCGGATGGAAAGGCATATTGAACTCATCGATTAATACGCCTAAGCGCCAGATTTCCTCGTTAAGAGCTTTAGATACTTTTTGTTCCACTTCTTCGACCATATTATGTATTTTTAATTTCATTTCGCGCGTAACATTCATCATTTCAGTCTCAGTACCCTGAATGCGTTCTGTTAAGACATTCTTCTGATCCAATTTCACATTGCGAAAGATGGATATACGTTCAAATATATTGTCCAGCATACCACGCATATCAGTTGACAATGATTTTCCTCGCGAACTATGCTTCTCGAATTTTGTTTGCACTGCACTTTTCGATATACATTCTTCGAATTTACGCTCAAAATCTTGAAATTCAAAATATCGTATTTGAAAGCCTTCGGCAATTGCTCCTAAACTGGGCGAATTTCCTTTTGCTTCTTCAATGCGGGCCTGTTTAAAACATTGCAAAACATTTAAACCTATACTTATTTTAAAAACTCGTTATTAACACATACTTGCAACGCTTCTCGAGCTGACACGAAGAAAACTCTCTCTGCGGCCTCCTTTTCGTTTGTAATTTTTAACTCCTTGGTAAGAAAGTCTACACAACGTTCGGTGTGCTGTGATTTTACCTACATTGAAAAACCAAAGTAAAATATCTTTAAAGTTTATTAAATTTTATTTTATTTTTTTTTTTTTTTTGTTTATCGTATTTTTAAGCAACATAAAATTAGGGTATTTTAAGCCGGCAAAAGGTGAAATTACCTTCTCAAGCTCCTAAAATATATTTTTGATTATAAAAATTTTATAAACAATGGAAAGGAAAAATAAGTTTAACACAACAACATAAATAAAATTGAGTTTATTGATTAAACACTTTTCAATTATGATAGCTAATTACTTACAGATTCTTGAAATTCTGGCTCGTTAGCTGATGCATCCCAACGATTATTTAATATGAAAATATTCGGTTTCGATAGTTTTTGGGAGACAGTGTGAAAGAATTGCTTTTCGGCTCTTGTCATTGTCGATTCAGCATTCAAAACTAGGACGAATACATCGGCATTTAAGCAGTGATTATCGATCCAATCGTCTAAATTTGCCGAAACATCTACTCCAGGTGAATCAACAAATACGACATCGTCACGCAATAAACTGCAACGTTCGCGAGGCCAAAATATACGCACAAGAGAGCTTTCGCTTAGTTTTTCTTGACATAAAGCGTTGGCTAATTGTTTTATGCTCTGAAATATGAACAACACGAAGTAAATAGATTACACACACAACAAATCTTTCTAAATGAAAATGTGCAATTCAAATTGTTTTTCATCAATTCTCAGAGTGGAATAAAAAAAAATTCTATTTTCCTACATGTGACATAAAGGCGAGATCAAGTCTCCTATTTATGAAAGCACGTTAACTCTTTTGAGTTAACTCGTTGGTTCTTCGCCCCCGTTACAATAGCATCATATTTAGAATTGTATCTATGACGTCCAATTAGAATTATCATTCTAGTTAGAATGTAAAATTACTATTCATTTGTGGATATGTATGGAACATTGTTGTTTGTCCGCTTTTTTTTTTTTTTTTTTTGAAAAAATTTTAATTTTACTTACCGTTACGTTGAGCTTTTCATCGGAACCCTCTTTAATGAGATATGCTTCCGAACTGTCACTACCCTCAACTTGGCAAAAGCAATTCGTGGTATGACCGATGCCGCTGGGTAAAATTTTTTCGCGCAACATAGCATTTATGACAGAGCTTTTGCCATTAGATGTACGTCCGAAGAAGGCGACTTTCATGTGATCGCGTGCTAAAACCTCACGAATGCCAGCCACTTTAAGAATATAACTTTCAAAAAGTTCACGTTCGGCCTTATCAACAATTTCTGCTTCTGCATGCAAAGCTAAAATTTAAACGAAATGAAAATCTTAATCATAACACAAAAATACATTTTCATCATATATACTTACCGTTAATAAATTGTGTGGTTTCATGTACATATTCTTCAATTTCCACATAAATATCGTTGATTTTCCTTTTAGCTCTGACAAATACCTGTAAGGGCGATTTATCAGCGTTTGCGTGCATTGTCCGCGTATCGGGTATCAATGCAGATGTCATTTCGTATTTAGTTGAATTATGAGCGATTGTCAAATTCGAGGATGTTTCGTTCGAGTTGTTGGCGTTGCCGCCATTACCAGTGACCATCGAAAGCGTACGATTCAGATAGGCCGCCATTATGTACGAAAATAAATGATATTTAATACAGAAAAGAGTTCTTCTTGTTATAGAAAATAACAACGAAAATAAACTTGAAGTAAAAAAATTCTACAGAAAATATTTGCTTCTCCCGAATCTTTAAACTTCTTATCAACTTCAGAACTTTCCTTAACAATATTTTCGATAATTCAATTGAAGCGATATTATTTTTGGCATATAAAACAACGTATCACGATACAAATAATTTTTTGATTCACTTTACTTTGTCATCGATTCATTAATTACTACAAAAACTTTTTTTTTTTTTTTTATTAAATTAATCGTTGAATGGTATGTAATCACTGTCACTGTCACTGGTTTGCAAGTGAGCAGAGAAAAATGCCTGGGTTGGTTTGCGGATAATATTCTATAAAGGGTAGAGGGCCAAGTGCAAGTATCTTAATAAAAATTTAAATAACTGAAATTAAAAAAAAAGAAGAACAAGAAATATAAATATAAAAAAATTAAAATAAATTATAAATAAAATTAGAAGTAATAGAATCGTGTGGTCCACAGCCCATATTAAGAGTACGTTCCATTCAAATATATTTATATTTATACAAATATAAATATAAATTTTGTGACGTCACGATTGTTTAGTCTTACATAAATCACTTATGGCTTAGACCAGTGCATCTTATGATATGAGATGGGAATATTCACAGGTAAAAATTGAAGCTTTTCTAATTGCGAATTATTTTATCATTAAACTGCAAAGTTCTTAACTGATCTTCAAAAGAATTCAAACATCCACGGTTACTTTCTTCCGTTGTCTCTTGTTGAAAGCTTAAATCACGAAAGTTGAAATAGAAAGATACGGACTAGATATGAATATGGACATAATTTCTGCGGGCTCAACATAGCTGAGCTGAAAATTCTGAAAACTTAGATACGTTAACATAATAAAGCTGTGTACTGAAAATTTGATCATGATTGGGCTGTTGACCCGCCAAAAATTTTATAGCACTCTCATATATTTTTGAAGAATTTGTAGTTCCATATATGTGTAGATGTATATAATAAAATAAATTAAAAGAATTGTAAAAGAATGTATGAAAATATACATTTACACAATTATATGCCATCCCATTCCATGTAAGAACGTTACGTATTGTACAGTTTTTTTTCTTGAGGAGAAACTTTCGTAAGAGGGGGAAGAATCTTCTGAAGAAGAACGTAAGGCTTTTTTTAAGAAGCAGATGTTAAATCATAATTTCTCTTAGAAGTCACACACCAGAGAGTCCTTTTTTGTCATCGATTACCGATTCATTGTCTTGCTTTCACAAATTCCAACCTGATGATGTCTAATTTGGGTATACTTTGCGGAAATATATCGGATATTTAATGCAAATTCGGCGCGTTCATAGGGGAATTAGAGCGTTTTAATACCGTTTACGTTGAAATTGTACTTACGCTCTTTTTCATTTTTATATCCGATATATAAAAATGTTCATTAATCAAATTATATTAATTTGCATAACTTTAAACCCACAAGGAGTACTTATAAATGAAATAATAAAGTTTACATTGCTAGGCGCTAAGCGAGGTAAAATGCGATAATGTAAAAAAAAAAAATTATTTGCTTAGGGACTAGGCAGGAAAACTGCTCCTTCATTTATTTGACGAAAAGGGTTAAATGCTTCAATAATAAGATAAACAAATTAACATCTATTAATGGATCACTGAAAAATAGTCTTCCCCGCCTAAAATGACTCGTTAAGATTCATTTGTCCCGTTAGAAAGATTGTGCATCTTAACAATTGCAACCGTAGCGAACACGTGAATAGTAAATTTTTGACGAGAAGACACAAAAACTCACGCATACATTAACACAATCCCTTATTTCGTCTATCAACAAATGAGAATAGATAGTGCAAATATAATTATTAAAATAAATGAAAAAAGACTAACTAGACAAAAATTTTTTGCGCAGAACACAATACACAATTGCAAATATTCATATACAAAAAAAAAAAAAAATTTTGTTTAGTACGCATATTTGTATCTCACACGAATGCAACTGGACCTGTGTATGTGTACCTAGTGATGGTATTATTACGTTTTTAACTAAATCGTTTAAACTGCGATTATTTCGTTTTTCCCAATTATTATACAATGACATTAGATTTTAATATAAAACCATTTATTTATACACATATATATAGAATAATTATAAAAACCTCAACTAACCTGATCAATTTGTTCGGTCATTTCTTTTGATAAATTGTTCGATTCAGTGTCTATTTGATACTCACTGCTGTTGCTGCTTCCACACAACGTCGAAAATGGCAACAGCACGTCTTTTTACTTCAATTATTTCCAAATTATTACTATATTTTCACAATTTTTCAATTAGAAAAATTGTTTTCTTTAATGATGTAACACGAAAGTTCTCAACAAAAAACAGTAGACGGTATATTTTCAAGGGTTGCCAATATTAGAAAGTTTTACACATTTACCGAGCAAAGAGAACAATGCTTGAGCGTTTTGACAACCATTTGTTTAATTTAAAATAAATTGAGTTCATTTCTTGCTGTCATCTTGTCCATGAAGACGTACTTTGAAAATAGTAATGGAGATTATTGAGAACACAGAGAGAATTGTGCAACCTTATGAAGAAGTGACCAAAGAAAGCTTTAGTAACTTTCGATCAATTGTATGTTGTCTCTTCCTATTATTTCAATAAGTAGAGAATTAAATAAATTATATATAGTTTGTTTCTTTTTCTTCTTTCCTCACTTTTATGCTCTGATTTTCAAGTCATTAAATTCATTAACTAATTTATTATTGCACGTAAGTTTGGAAGTTGCTTTTAATGGGAGTATCAATTCTGCATCCTCTTTACTACCATGGTTTCTATTTTTTGCCTAAATTTTGAACTTTATAAGAATGACACAGTCAAAAGAATTTAAAACGTATGGCTAAATTGTATTAATAATAAGATTAACAATTATAAATAATATAAGATATTTTATTAGCAACTACTTTAAAGAAAAATTGAGCACATCCTCATAAAATATCTTGACTTAAAGAAAGTAAGTTAATAATTTTTATGTCATAGAGGACTCAAACAATGGTGCGTTATTTCTATTTTTTTCAAGTACAGAATATTCCTGAAATTTTTGAAGCATAATTTGCCTTTAAATGATTTCAACGGTGTCTATATCATCAGTAATTTTTGAAAATGTATAGTGCAGCGAAATCACTCCAGGGACTTTATAAATTGCAGGTGTGTATGAAAAAAAAAAAAATTTTTAGAAAGATCTTTACAATTTACGATTCCAGTACATCTCTATTGCAACAAAATTTGTGTTTCATATTTTAGTTTCTCATCGTCAAGTTACGCTCAAAAGCCAATAAAATCGATGTGAAACAATATGGCAACAAATATTTCCATCTGGCAATGCCATTAAAATTCTTGCTGAATCAGTCTAACGGAATTTAAAAAATAAAAGAGTAAACAAGTCCATTTCTTCGCATGTGTTCTTCGGAAAAGCATTAAAATTGGAATCTGCTAAGTTGCAATAAATTAATAATGTATATTGTGCTCTGCATTAGATTCAAATTTTAATAACAAATGCAATAAAGCTAATAATGCCATGTGATTGTAATATTGCGTAAACAAAAACTAAGCGGCCATTTTAAAATTTTTGTGAATTGTTTAAAAGGTTATACAGCGAGTGAAAAGCCTTAAAATGAAGAGAAAGGAAGAAATTGAGGTAGATTTGGAAAAATTAGAAAGGCAGATTTTCGAATGGAAACCGAATCTTAAGTATACAAAAAACCATGTATGTACAAGGCTCAGGCAACAAATTGAAGATAGCGTCCCTATAGTTAAACTACAAAGTTTAGGAGCACAAGGTAAGAATCAAATAATATCCAACACCAAAGTTTCCAAAATTAAAACAAAAAATATATTTTCAGAAGTCGAACATCTACGTAGATATGAATTAAATCATTTGAATTCGAACGATGAAGTGCCTGCAAGTGAACAGATTCAAAAAATTAAAAGATCAGAAGGAAATACCAAAGGCTCAGATGAAAATATGCATAATTCAACTGAAACCATCTATGTAAGAAAAACGATCGACTCTGTAACGGATAAGGGTAAACGTGGTCATAAAGTTATGGAGAAAGCTGGTACTCCTTTATATACATGTGTACCAGATTTACGCTGTCGTTCTATGCAACATATTTCATTGGATAGCATATACATTGCGCGAAAAATGTTCGACTTGAGGGCTCGTCAGTTCAAAAAATCGTTGAAATCAATAAGTAGGCGCCGCCAAACCTCTGGGCGAAAACGTAATGAAAGAAATCAAAAATATATTGCCGAGAATTCTGAGCAGGATACAGAGCAAGAATTGTCACAATTGTTGCAGGCCCTCATGGTTGATCCGAATGATGCAGGAAACTCGCAATTTACCGACTGCACTGTTTGTGTTACTGACAACCCAAGTAATTCCAGTAACAATACTCCTAATGCGAAGAAACGTAAAAGTCGATCAACGATACTGAACTCATCGGCAAAAAAACAATGCCAAAAAAAGTTTACTAAATTTACCAAATATAATGACAACAGTAACATGAGTCTTCCTCTTGCAACATCGGTACAACAAGCAGTAAGTAATTTATTAAAATATTCGGCGTATGATTAAAATATGTTGAAATTGCGGACTTTTTCCGCCATTATTAAGGGTCTGCGTCAATCTTAACGATTTTCTAAATGGACAATGTAATTCGCCAATCAAACAAAAACGACTGCTTCAATTTGTATAAAGTTTTAGGCCTTTACATGGCTATGGTAATTTGTCAACGGAAATGGGAACCGAAGAACAACAAATAGGTGAAACTCGATAATAACCTTACTTTCATTATGAGACGAATCTTAAACGGTTGATACCTTAAACGAATTCAGTCATGAGGGTTACCGTTAGTAGCAAGCATGCAAGTTTACCAATCGAGACTTTTCTTGTTTTTTGCTGGTGTCTTCGGGATTTGCCGTAGGCGAATGTAACTTGTGTTCACTTGTGTTAATCTCAATGTCAATTTTCGACATATATAGTTATATATCAATTAAATAAACCGAATTTAAGAATTCGCATAGTCTAATTAAAAGATCGAAATGATCTCCAAATGCGATGGACACTTGAATATCAATTAAGTTTATTATGCTCTGTTTTTACAAGAAACGAAAAGTTGTAAAAAATCTCAACAATATGGATAAAACTGTGTTCCTCTCTATATGTATGAGGATCTCAAAAAGCTTCGATTGGAATATATGTAATAAATTTATATTTACATATATTATAAATACACATTTATATATATGTAATAAATACATATTTATATATATGTAATAAATACATATTTACATATATTACTATCTAAAGTATAAACTCCGGAAATCTGTCTTCACCAAGTAATGTAATTTAACTTCGTTAAGACGAAAAGTAAGGCTCGGTTTGGGTAACTGCCAAAGCAAACAAATTCTGTAAAGGTTCAATGTCCTTTGAGAAAAATTGATAAAAATTATATTCTTAAATAGAAAATGAACTCTCATGAAAATGTCCAAGCCGTAAAGGTGATTAGAACAAAATAGTATGAGCTAAAATTATTAGAAAGTAAAAACGGTTGAAAACGTGTAAAAATGCATCGAGACTCAATTTAGATAAAATCTGTCGTATACATATGAATTTTTTAGCTAGAAACATGTCTGTGAATCAATAGTGATATAATTTTGGCTAATAATGATTCCTCCAAATAATATTGGGACCTTATAGGCGAGAAATCATATATGCATTTAATTAATTAAACTCTTAAAGATATTCAAAATTAATTATTGGTGCCTGCTAGTGTGCTTGATATTTGCGCAGAATTTATATTTCTTTAGAATATGTAGATGGACATCGAATATTAAAATATGCATATTCCTTAGAAGCTTGATGTCCACTCGTCCAGCTTATAGCCTCTGACGATTGCTTTTATTATTATTACTAATTATTTAGTTGATGGATCTATCAAGATACGGAGCTCGATCATGTTTTACTCAAATGCAAAAAAAAAAAAATGACATTCGATCCAACTGCAAAATTTACTTTGAGATGTGTTTACACTATAAACTTTACCCTGCCAAAAATTTGTGCCCACCAGTGTAAGATGGACGTATATTTATATTGGCAAAACTTTCACAACATGAGTTCCAGGAATCCTATCAGTTATATACATATTCCTGATCAACATTAAATTTTGAATTCAGTTAAGTATATATATACATATATATGCCCGACATGCTGGGTAGTGTCTATAGTAAATATCTTGCTGCTCTTAGAAATGAAGATGTCACCTCCAGGCTTGACCAAAAAAATAATCTTCACGTATTTTTCGGAATTTTCCGCTCCCTCAATAAACTTGTCTTACATATACTACAATTTTCTGTTTAAATATAAAAATATTGTTCTCTGTTTTGAATTCTGTTGGTATTTTTCATTGTATATTTTTAGTCCTTTGTAAAATAATACATTTTATGCGAACCTAGTCGTGTTAATATTAAGTCTGAGATCATATGCGTTTCTTAAACTATAAGGCTGAGCATCAGATACGTACATTAACTGTCTTCGTACATAATTTGGCGACATCCTAATTTTAATTTTAGATTAACAGCGAGCCTGCGATATTAGGATGCATTTTTGCAATACTTTCTTCAGGTCATTAATATAGATTGGGAACAGAAATGTTTTTAGCACGGCTCTTTGTGCCACATCTGCATTCATTTTGTATTTTTGATGATATGTGCGTCCCGCACTTTGTTCTCTGTATTCTGATTTCCAAATAACTCTTAAACCATTTTAATTCATCTCCTCTTATTCCCTATACATCTAGTTTTTTTTATCATGATATGTCTGTTTATTGTGTCAGTAAACACCGCTACCGCCACTTCGGCAAGGAAAAGAGATTCACAATTATAGTAACGCCTAAATCCCGACTGGGTTTCGCTTGATAATTCATTCTTTTCAAAATAATTAATTAATTGCCTGTGGACAATTTTTTTCCCGAATTTTTCTGATTATCATTAACACATTAATTGGTCGTCTTTCTTGGGAATCTTTTGTATTTTTTTTATTAGAACGAGACTTTCGGAAAAACTTTCGACTGTAGCGATTTTTTTCTTAAATTTGTGTATTTAGATTAACTTCATTTTATTTTGAAGCTCAGGACTGTTTATAAATGTGAAAAGATATCTCACAGCTATGTTATCCTCTATGAGATTTTCATACATCACTGTTGGTACGATGTCCACTAATTGCTGTGTACTACGGTGCCTTCAAAAAATATATTAACCTCATTGGTGATGTTCAATCTCATTGGTTATGCACTTTCCATTCATTCTTACCTTTTAAATAACAACAAATTGTTATAGTTGTTGCTTTTGGCATAATCATATAAAACAAGGGAAGTAAGTCTGTAAAAACGCGGACGTATAATCGCGTTGCTGCTAAAATTTGCAAGAGAATTGAATAAACATTTACATCTGCATTCGAGGGATGTGAACGCGACGATAAGTTCAGTGGAGTTCGCGTAACACAATCATTGTGTGCAGCATATTAATGCATATGTACATGACAGAAATTGCCTTTGAAGCATTTTTAAATCTGGCAATG